AAAAACCACCATCTGACAAAGGATATAAAAATTTTATAGTAGTAGCTTATCAAGATGGTATAATTAAACTTAAAATAAAAATTAATAAAATATGTGAATATGCTACAGATCTCTGGACCACAAGGTCAAAATTTGAATATATTGGTATTACAATTCACTGGCTTATGGCTAATTTTGAAATTATTGATATTCTTCTTACTATTGAATATATGTGATATTCCATACGACTGAGAAAATATATGATTATCTTTACAATAAAATAAATAAATTTGAATTAAATAAAAAATTATTTATAGGAATCATGAACAATAGCTCAAATATGAAAAACACCTTTGCAATGTGGGAAAATACTGAATGGTTATTCTGTTCTACTCATACTCTCCAACTAATAGTAAGAAAAGGTTTAAAAAAAATCAACCCTTATGTAAACAGATTTAAAAAATTAGTAACTTTTTTTACAAAGTTAGTTAAACAATCTGAATGGCTCAATGCAGCACAAATAGACCTTGCATGACAAAATTATATGCAAAAAGAGGAAGTTAAAATTATTCAATTTAATCAAATATCAGCTCTTGAGATAGATGAAAAAATTGATTCAGAAAAAGGTGAAGATGATAAAGAAATTGATGAATCTACAATAAAAATATTATGTAATATTTTCAATATTAGTACTAGATAGGACTCCAGTTACTCTTCATGGAACCGACTTTTACAATTAAAAGAAGCAATCACCTGGCTAGCTTCCATATTACCATTAAAAAAAGGAAAAGAAAATCAAAAAGATAGTCAAAAATTGTCACAGCTATTTTTAAAAAACTACAAGTGGGAGTTATTAAAAATAATTGTTAATATATTAAAACCATTTGAATTTGCAACAATATTTTTTTCAGGAAGCAATTTCCCACCTTTTCATTAATGTATCCTATTATTCGTGAATTACAAAATAAATTTTTAGATGTTAGTTTAGAATTAAATGACAATAATGAAGATAATGACGACGATAATGGTAAGTTTTGCTAGGTTTGTATTAATCTTCATTTTATTAACATAACAATTTATATTTAAAATTAGTAATCATTATTAATATCATATGATATAAATATATAATTCATTGTTATTTAAAATCTGCAACAGTATTCTTGTATATTTCCTTTATTCATACAGTACTTTGGGGGTTTTTTTATACTTATTTTGGCTTGTTTGAAAAGGACGGGGTACTGTATGCAACTGTACAGTAATCAAAATTAAATATAGAAATCAAAATATAACTTTATATATTTTATAGATCAGATATATTGGATTCTGAAGATGAAAATGATGACACTCCATGTGCACCACCACCACCATCTAATCTCGATCAAATTGAAAAGAAATTTAAAATTGTTATTTCAAATTCTTTAAATAAATATTGGCATGATTTTTGTGATATTGGATTAGTAGCCACACTTTTAGACTCTCAAACAAAAAAAATGCTAGCATTTACAAATAGAGAATGAGAAAAGGCCAGAGAAAAATTAAAGAATGAATTTGAGAATTTACAACACCTTAATTTTACTAATAATTATCAACTAGAACAACAAACATCAACATCAATAGGTACTGAAATTATGCAAAATCCATTTTTTGATGGT